CTTCGCCTACCGGTACGAGGCTGCAACTCGAGAACCTTTCTTCCCCATCGGTTGTCGGTTCTTCGAGCTATATGGCCGGCCCATTGCCACTTCAACTTACTAATCCGTTGGGCTATGTCGGTTACTCTGGTTCTACTGAGGATATCCTCATTTCTAAGTTTATCACGCAGAGAAACCCCGCGCATAGCCCTCTCCATAGCTCGCTGAGCGACCTTGAGCTTCCTAATACGGCCAGCAGTGAAAGACCACGTCTCAGATCCGTAAGTCATCACTGGCAACACGCACTGGTTGTACAATTTCGTTTTAAGGCTTTGAGGTATGTCTGACGAAAAGATGTGTCGTAGTTTCCCGAACGCTGCCCAGCCAAGTTGAATCCGTCGATTGACCTCTCGGTCGAAGTTGGACTTAGCTAGTCGGACTATTTGTCCCAGGTAAACATACTCGACAACAACAACTTCGAGCTTAGTACTCCCAACAACTACCGGCATAGGTGTGACATGGACATTAAACATGATCTTTGTTTTGTCTATGTTCATCTTAAGACCTATCCGTTAGGGGACACTATTGAGGTCATTTAGCATGGTGCTTAGTTCCTCCAGCGATTCTGCCATAAGGACTATATCGTCGGCAAATCGAAGGTGAATAATGTACTCGTCATTGATGTTAAGACCGGGTCCTTTCCAGTCCAGAAGCTTGAAAACGTCTTCCAATGCAGCGGTGAAAATTTTCGGGGATATAACGTCACCCTGTCTTACACCTCTCTGCAATTGGATAGGTTTCGTATTCTGGTTCTGTACTAGGAAAGCCATCGTAGCCCTACTGTACAAGCACTTCAACACTTCGATATACCGACAGTCAACTTGACACCGCTGAAGGGACTGCAGCACCACCCAAATTTCGACGGAATGAAAGGCTTTCTCATAGTCTACATACGCTAGACATAGTGGCAAATTGTACTCCCCGGACTTCTGTATAACTTGCCGAAGGGTACGTATGTGGTCTAATGTGCTAACGCCCTTTCAGAAACCAGCTTGTTCAGGAGACTGGAAGTCGTCAAGTCTGCGCGCGAGACGATTCGTAATTACTCTGGAAAACAGCACGTAGACGCGGCTCAGAAGGGAAATCGGTCTGTAGTTCTTCAAGAGAGCGTTGTCGCCTTTCTTGAAGAACAAGACCACCGCACTTCTGCTCCACGCCTTCGGTGTAATGCCACCATGGAGGACGGAATTAAAGGGCCTTGCCGTTTTTAAGGTGCTGGAGAGCCATTCTAATCTCTCTTAGACTGATGTCCGGGATATCATCGGAATTGTGTCGGGTAAGACTCGCTCTTGGATCGTTACTCACACTTGTGTGTTGCTCCAACGACCTCATGGAGAGTTTCCACGAGCTTGTCATTCATATCATCCACTTCATTGTAGTCTTTTAGGCACTGAAAACGGTTTTTTAACTCGATCTGAAAGGTTCCGGGACTTTGTACCAGAGCACTAGGGAGAACGGAGCGTTGACTTTATTAGACGAGACCTCTCCATCTTAACGTTTAGGTTCAGTGTGCATCTGACCATTCGGTGATCGCTGCCAGTTTTCACCCTGGCAATCACGGAGACATCACTGAACAGTTGTCGTCTGGTCGTCATAATGAAGTCAATCTCATATTTTGTCAAACCGTCGGGGCTCGACCAGGTCCACTTCCTGTAGGGCCGCTTCTGGAATTAACAATTCATCATAAAGAGTCCCTCTTTCTCTTTGAAGTCGGCCAGCTACTGGCCCCTTGGGTTCCGTTGCCCTATTCCAAATTTCCCTACTTTCAGCTCACCGTTCTCTCTTGTGCCTAGTTTTGCATTGAAGTCTATCCCTCTCCCATTAACACCGTATATTGGGTTTTGGAGGAATGCATGGCTCTAGAGATATCCTCATACATTTCTTCCACCTCCTTATCGGGGTGAGCTGAGGTTGGTGCGTAAACCTGTATGACCTTCAGCGAATACCGTTTGGTGATTCTGAGTATAAGGTGCGCAACGGTGCGCAACCCTCGTCGATTCACTCTCAATTTTTACAACGTTGTTAACGAAAGACTTGTGGACGATAAATCCGACACCTTCTAGGGACAGATGGTCGCCCTCCCGGTGATAGAACAAGTTGCCGGATTCGAGGATTACCGTGTCCTCCCCTCTCTTCCGACTTCGGATAATCCTGTAATATGCCAGCGTAACTTGTTTTTATCTTCTTCTAGCTCCACAATCTTTTCGTCAGTCCTCAGGGTCTGTGCGTTGTATGTTGCCAGGTCGAGTCGTCGTAGGTGGCAACTGAACCTTCACCGGAGATTTTTAGCACCCCCTGCCCCGCCGTTACCATGGTCGCCACCGTAGCCAGTAATAGCGGGGTTGCCGGGGACTGGAGGCCGTCTCTTTGTTACATTCATAGAGGGGTATTTGCCATAGTTGCCACGCTTGGGGAGCGGGTTGGTAACCGCAGTCTTTCATGAAGATGCTGCTGCCCATCTCCTGCCTGTTTTCTTTTGTCGCCTTTTACTTCACCCACGGGATGGTATGGGTAGTGGATATTCTTAATCACCACTACACGGCACAATACAATACGGTAATATAGTATTAATACAATACGACAATACGTATTATGAAAATAAAACAAAAAATGCAACATAATTTCGCTTATACGACGCACCATACCTAATACTATGCATGTTAAAAATTACGTCAATTTGTGACATTTCATTATCATGTCTTTAGAAAAAAATGTAGAGATAAGCATAAAGGTTTCATATAAGTTGTCAATGTTTAATATGCTCACAGCATCAATAGATGGCACAACAATATAATTGTATTACGCTATTATTGTTCTATTCAAGCTTTATAGGTGTTGGATGATCGTGATATTCAAGATCTAAGCTTAGTGCGACATAAAGTTTTTCAATTTCTTGAACGGATAAACTTGAAGAAATAGCATTATAATAAAATGGAATCACTTATTTTAAGTCAGGAAGACAACTTGGATTATCTTAAAAGAGGTTTTAAAAATTATAAAAAATCACCTAAAGAAAGAATAACGCTAGATTATATTCAAGCTAGATAAGAAAATCTAGAGAGTTTAAATACCAACTTTTTAACTTTATATGCACAAATATTACAGACAGTTAAAATGGAGGAAAAGGACAACATTTACTATTTCAAAAATGACATATACAGGTTGTCCCACTAATGGTGGATAATGTGATACGTACGTACGTATCAGATTATCAGTATATACAGGTTGTCCCAGTAATATTATATAAACTGTATATATACAGTTTCAGGAGATGTATATAGAGTATAAAACAAAACTAAAAGAGAACTTAGGAGCAAACGCTCTACAAGAAAAGTGTTCTATCACTGAAATACCTCAACAACCATTGCCATGTGAAGTAAAGTTATCTCAAATAAAATAACCTGTGTTTTCTGGTGGCTATGAAGAATGGGAAACATTTTATGATTTATTTCGTTCACTTATCCATAATAACGTCAACTTAACGCCCGTTCAGAAGCTCTATTACCTCAAAAGTAGTTTATCTGTTGAACCGGAGAGTTTACGAAAGACTTTAACCACGACTGATTCTAATTATGAAGAAGCCTCGATACAATTGACACGCCGTTATCAAAACAAAAGATATATTTGCAATGAAATTATTAAGCGCCTATTTTCGCAAAGGTTATTAACACATGAATCGGCTAACGGTGTTAAGCTAATACTGGATACCACAAACTCGTGTTTGAAAGCCTTAAGTAATATTGAAGTTAAAGTGTCAGACTGGGACGTCATCATAAATCACTTGGTTTTAACAAAATTAGATAATGAATCGAGAAGGCCAACAGAACAAACAAAATTCTGCCAACTAGAATCTGAAAAATTACCGTCCTGAAATCATCTAGCAAATTTTCTTGAGTCCAGATTCCGAGCACTTGAAATGATTGATACAGGGAAAAATTTCACAAGAATGACCAACAGTAGCAACCTCAAACAAAGTCATAAACAAAAATCGTATCATGCAACGATCTCAGAAGAAAAAAGGTATTGAGTAACAATTGTACGATGTGCTCAGGACAGCATTTACTATATCAATGTAAACAGTTCGGAAAGCAATCTCCCACCGAAAGAATTGAATTTATCCAGTCACAAAAACTCTGCTTCAATTGTTTATCACCTACTCACACTGTAAGACAGTGCCATCAAGCCACATGCTGTCGACGATGTGGCAGACGGCATCACACACTGCTTCATATTAACAGAATCAAAATACGGTTCACCTGCAAAAATAGATATGATTCTGGGTGCCGATATTCACGGTGAGATAGTACGAGAAGGTTTATCAAACACCCATCTAAACACGGATCCATCGCTCACAATACTCACTTAGGATGGGTTTTGTCAGGTCGAACTCCTCAATCAAATCCTCAATTTATAGGTCTACTAATATAGATATCTATCCAAATAAAGAATGATGAAATCCTGAAGCAGTTTTGGGAGATAGAACGAGAGCCGGATGAAATTAAGAAGAAACAAACAAAAGATGAAATGAAGTGCGAAGAATTTTATGAAAAAACGACAGTCAGGGTTGCTGATGGACGCTATGTTGTTCGATTTCCATTTAAAAATCTTAACCCAGAGTGTATAAAAGGAAATTAACAAGAAAATTACTAAAGAATCCGAAACTGTATGAAGAATATAAAAAAGAAATAAACGATTATTTAATACAAAACCATATGATAATAATTAAAAATAAGTATGAAATACATAAAGAAAAATCAATGTACATACCTCATCATCCAATAATTCGCGAAGACAAAGAAACTACAAAACTTCGAATTGTATGTGATGCATCCTGCAAAGGTGTTAACAACATATCTTTAAATGATAACTTACTTGTCGGTCCTAAACTTTAGCAGGATCTCCGTCACATTCTGATGAGGTGGCGTCTACATCCAATATGTATAGTAGGTGACATAAAGCAAATGTACCGCCAAATACGTATAAATGACGAAGACACTGACTTTCAGAGAATTTTGTGGAGACCAAATACTGATCAACCGATACAACATTACAAGGTACTGCGACTTACATTTGTAACTGCTTGTGCCCCATATTTGGCAATGACATCTATTCAACGGCTGGCTATAGACGAACAATCGAAGTATCCGCTAGCAGCCAAAATAACATTATATGATTATTATGTGGATGATTTACTTAACGGTTGCGAATCTATCGATGAAGCTAAAGAAATTTATGACCAAATGGTTAAATTAATGGGTGTTGGCGGTTTTATACTGCAGAAATGGAACACGAACTCTCAAGCTTTATTAGAATATATTGAAGAAGAAAGTAAAGGATCAGAAGTACTAGTTTTCAAAACTAATAACGATATGATAAAGGTGCTCGGCATAAGATGGAATCGGACAACGGACTGTTTTGAATACGTCTTAAAATTATCAGATTTATCTGATATAATTAATAGAATCAGGCGTTACTTTGCGGAAATCCATTATATAAAAGATTTTAGAAAAATCTACTTCTCAAATATCCGCGTTATAAAATAAAATGATGTGTCTTACCTAGGCTAACTGCTAAGACTTACTAACTAAAATAACTTAGCGGTTAGCCACCGTAGAGTCTATATCACCTGAAGATGCCTCGTGTAGAGGCGAAACACTTGTCGTATTATCGTCAGTGGTGTGTCTTGCTTAGTGTAGTGGTGTTGGGAGTAGCGGTGCTGGGATTAGTGGTGACGTGGATATTGCACGCAATTGAGGGAGGGCGGGAGGTCCTCTTCATACTAGATAAGACACATTATTTTATGTCATAACGCGGATATTTGCGAAGTAAATTTTTCTAAAATCTTTTAGATTTACCTGAATCAATGACTAAGAGACATGTTCTATCAAAAATAGCAAGATTATATGATCCCCTAGGATGGATAGCGCCAATTATTGTGACGGCAAAAATTTATATTCAAAAATTATGGAAATCTGGTTTAAGTTGCGATGAAAAACTAACAGAAAGCCTAATGAAGGAATATTTAGAATTCGAAAACGATCTTGCTAAGGTAGAGAGAATTGTTATACCCAGATGGGTAAATACTAGAAAGGAAGATAAAATAGAGTTGCATGTATTTGCTGACGCATCACAAGCAGCCTATGCAGCGGCAATTTATTTGAAGTCAGTTGACAATAATGGTCAAGTGTGCGTTTAATTTAGTTTCAGCCAAAACTAAAGTTTCTCCAATTGGCAAGGAAGTATCAATTCCTCGTACATATATAATATCGTACATTGCTAGGTACTAAATTGATATATGAAATATCACAGATAATGAAAATTCCTAAAGAAAATTTATATGCCTGGTCTGATTCTACCGTAGTGTTGGCATGTATTAACGGTGAACCTAGCAGATGGACAACATTTGTAAGCAACCGAGTCTCAGAGATTTTGACTATGATAGACAAAGATTAGTGGTTTTATCTCAATACAAACGATAATCCAGCAGACGGTGTGTCAAGAGGTATGTCCGTAAGCCTCATTCTTGGTAATAACTTATGGTGGCATGGCCCGTTGAGGCTGCAAGAAAAGACGACTCAATATAGGCAGACTAAAGGAACATTTATAACTAAAGAAGAAGAAAGACCAATCAAACATTTTCTCACAGTAAAGGCAAGCCGTGAAGAAGATCCATTATTTACAAAGTTTCGAGCTTAACTAAAACTATAAAAGTACTAGCTGTATGTAAAAGAGTTTTAAGGTGGAAGCTACCTAGAGATCAGAGAAAGTTTCCTAAATTTGTTACTGCAAAATAAATGGAGGAAACTCTTCAGTGTTGTATCAAACATAGTCAGAACATTTTTTTTGAAAAAGAACTTGAAATGATAAAAAAACAAGGACACGTTGCCAAAAACAACCACCTTCACTCTCTTAGTCCAATTCTTGATGAAGATGGGGTGTTTAGAGTTGGTAATCGCATTCACCGTGCTCAAATGGACTATGATAATAGGCACCCGGTAATTATGCCTAGTGAAAATCATATTACTAACTTAATAATATTGGATGCTCATATAAAGACATTGCATGGTGGGCCACAAATCATGTTAAATTTTATACGATCTAAATACTGGATAATCCGTGCAAGAGTACTGGTTAAGAAGTGCTACTGAAAATGTATGAAATGTTTAAGATACTCCAGGTAAGACAATAACCAGTTTATGGGTCAGCTTCATGAAGTCATATTAAAGCCATTTCGACCGTTTCAATCAGCAGGTGTTGACTTTACGGGATACATAAATATACGGATGTCTCCCGGTCGAGGAGCCACAGCATATAAAGGATATATATGTGACTTCGTATGTATGATATCTAAAGCTGTGCACTTAGAAGCCGTCTCGGATTTAACAGCTAAGGGCTTTATCGCAGCCTTTCGCCGTTTCGTGTCTCGTTGCGGTCACTGCACAGACTTATATAGTGATAATGGTACCAATTTCGTCGGCGCCGATAAAGAGTTGCGTGAAATGCTAAATAGTGTCAAGTCTAAGCTACCCGATGAAATCAATAAAACTGCTTGCTATTGAAGGAACAACGTGGCACTTCATACCTCCACACTCTCCCAATTTTGGAGGCCTGTGGGAAGCAGGAGTTCGATGCATGAAGTCACATCTAAAACGAGTGATAGGTAATTCAAAGCTAACCTTCGAAGAACTTTCTACAGTTCTAGCATAAATCGAGGCGTGCTTAGAGTCACGTCCACTTTCCTATATAAGTGACAATCCTGAGGATCCATTACCACTAACCCCAGGTCGCTTTTTGGTGGGTGAGCCCTTGATAGTAGTACCAGAAGAAAATTACTCAAATATACCGCTAAACAGACTACAAAGATGGAAATTCGGTCAAAGAATGATAAACGACTTTTGGAAAAGATGGTCAGAAGAGTATTTAGTCACGCTAAACCAAAGATATAAATGGAATACAAAGAAGATTGAGCCTGAGATCGATGATGTGGTAATAATAAAGGACCATAATCTTCCTCCAGCCAAATGGTTGCTTGGAAAAGTCATTGAAAAACATCCTGGAGCAGATAACATCACAAGAGTTGTGTCTATAAAAACTAAGAATGGTATTTGTAAGCGCCCTTGTAATAAATTGTCTTATTTACCTAAGAAGTAGAATGATTGTTAGTCTCATAGAGTTATTTTTTTTATATAAATGGCTTTACTAATTCTATAGACTATTTTTGTTGATATTGTGCCTCACGGTGGGCGGTTTCATTTTGAGTATCGTATTGTTGAAATAATTTGAAATTTTGTTACATTTGAAAAAGAACGAGTCTTTTGGTCGGCGGTATGTTAAAAATTACGTCAATTTGTGACATCTCATTATCATGTCTTTAGAAAAAATGTAGAGATAAGCATAAAGATTTCATATAAGTTGTCAATGTTTAATATGCTCACAGCATCAATAGATGGCACAACAATATAATTGTATTGCGCTATAATTGTTCTATTCACTAAGCTTTATAGGTGTTGGATGATTTCGAATAAATGAGTCAAAATGAAGATAAACGTGCAGTGTTTAATTTAATAGTGTAGAAGTATAGTGAATTGAGTTAGTCGACAATGCAGATAGTAGTCTATTAATAGTCTTACGAGTTCTTTTTTCTGAACGTAAATCAATTTCAATTAATTGATTTACTATTTTATTCTACCATAAAATCGCCCTTATAAGGACATTGAAATTAATAATAGTGCATTATTATCATCCTATCTAACTATGGCTAAAGCGAGTCACACACTACGCAGATGTGATAAGATATCTGTATCTGAGCGCATATCTTTCAACATCGGTCCCTATGAAATTCAATAAATTAACACACACAACGCAGATAATTTATTTTTATCCGATAACATCTGCAAATACAAATACGGCATAGGATTTTACCTGCAGATAAATACAGGTGGTCGCTGATAAAATGCGATTAAATTCAAAGCGGTCCTTTTTTAGCTTTATATGATTTTCTACCCCAATATTTCGCTTTTTTTCGCAAATAGCCGTGGTAGCTTAGATAGTTAGCTCTCGCTATAAGTTTCACAGTATGCGAACAAACCGGATTCGATCCTCGCCGGCACCAAAGAAATTGTTAAGTGCAATTTTAAGTGCTCATTTACCACATGCTCGGCGGTGAAGGAAAACATCGTGGTGAAACCTGCATGTCTGAGAAATAAGGAAAAATATATTTCGAAGACCAACAGGCGGGGCAGTGCAGTGGACCCATCCTTGCCCTAAAAAAAAAGATCTAGGCGTACAGATGGTGTGAAGTGACTATGTTTTATACTGTACCGTATATGTAGAGATTGCCATTGTATAATTTATTTAAAGCACCGACTATATATTTTAAAATTCTATTAAATGTATAGAAATTACCTCATTTAAATTTTACTATGAAATGTAACGAAATCAATTGAAATATATTTATATCTTCAACGGAATAAAATTAAAAATTAAATTTTGTTTGTTAAAACCTACTAAATCTATTACCGTTCCGAAATGAGGTTCCTCTCACCGGAGAAGAAACAGCGAGAGAAACTTCGCAAGTATCCTATTTTCTGCCATCATTTTTAGGTTTCCGTAGTTAAATAACTAGGAATCCTTATATTCTTGTATATACGTCCTTATATAATTTGGCGTAGTTATAGATATTAATCACGCCTACAAAACTATGAAATAAAATCTTTAGAAACATTTTTATTTTGGGTACCTCCGATATGGTGTATGGTGTATCGGAGGTACCCAAAAAAAATCATATAAAGCTAAAAAAGGACCGCTTTGAATTTAATCGCATTTTATCAGCGACCACCTGTATTCATCTGCAGGTAAAATCCTATGCCGTATTTGTATTTGCAGATGTTATCGGATAAAAATAAATTATCTGCGTTGTGTGTGTTAATTTATTGAATTTCATAGGGACCGATGTTGAAAGATATGCGCTCAGATACAGATATCTTATCACATCTGCGTAGTGTGTGACTCGCTTTAGCCATAGTTAGATAGGATGATAATAATGCACTATTATTAATTTCAATGTCCTTATAAGGGCGATTTTATGGTAGAATAAAATAGTAAATCAATTAATTGAAATTGATTTACGTTCAGAAAAAAGAACTCGTAAGACTATTAATAGACTACTATCTGCATTGTCGACTAACTCAATTCACTATACTTCTACACTATTAAATTAAACACTGCACGTTTATCTTCATTTTGACTCATTTATTCGAAATCATCCAACACCTATAAAGCATAGTGAATAGAACAATTATAGCGTAATACAATTATATTGTTGTGCCATCTATTGATGCTGTGAGCATATTAAACATTGACAACTTATATGAAATCTTTATGCTTATCAAAAAGCGCTCAAGAGCGAAAAGCTAAAACAAAAATAAAATTGCGGTCGGCAATCAGCCTTTCTATTTTTGGTAATGGCTCGTACATTAGCTGACAAATGTGAAATGATTTTAGAAGAAATAAATAATAATAAGTGTCCAAGCACTGGTTTACA